TCTTGGCTCAGGTGCTAGAGCTATATTATAAGCTACCTAACTAAAAAAGAACGAACTATGCAAATGCATTAAATACTGTAGGAGGACGGACGGATGGAAAAAATGGCCATAACATGAATTCGTAAAATTCGAGCAACAAAGCATAACTTGGGGAAAAATTTTTCGTTTTTCTATACAAATATTTTAATTATTAAAGCTTGTATTTAACATAATTTCACAAATTAATTAATCAGAAGATAATTGTATAATGTTAGCGAAGTGATTATAAACACATTAATGGAAAAATATGCGTTTTGGCAAAGCTTTTAAACAGGTAAAGTGAAACAAAAATTGGTTCATTTAGTTCAAAGATTACCAAACGACACGATCCTGTATAATTTCACTAATCTTGTTTCGTCGATCCCCTAATTCCAAAATAAAAGGTGTCTTTTTCAAAAAAAGTCTAAAAAGTAACTTGTAAAGGAATAATTATTATTATTATTAGGTAGGTATGTCAAAATAAAATGCTGGCAGCAACCACCAAAACAAACAATGTTTGCAAGTAAACTGAAGGGTCAAAGTAAACTTGCATTTATTCGTTCTCCAATTGTTTTTTCAGCAACCATAAGACATTGAAGGATGGACTTTTTGGGTGGATCCTTTCCGACTTCGTAAACATTGGATAGATAGTAAAAAGCTATGCCTAAGTCCGATATCTAGAAAAATTAGGGTACCTGGAGAACCTTGAGCAAAGGAATAACAAATCCAATTTAGTATGTGATTGAAAAAAATGTCAACTGCAATAATTCTAAACACTCCACTGAAAAAATCGTGCAGAACACTTCAGGTTAATATTCCTCGAAGAGCGTACATAAAAAAAATGCATTGGACCTAGATTATATTTACGATTTTTAAATTACAGAAAGGCGTTATTAAAATGTGAAAAAACCATGATTCCATACCTTGTCAACGCACTTTTGGCACCTCACTTGTGGTGCGCAACTTTGCGGTAGAGATTTTTACAAATATCCGAATGGGCATGCCCCAAAACCAAAAATTATTGGTTCCATTTTTACGCTTTTTAAATATTTGTTTAAAAACAGAAAATTTTTCCGCCCAATAAGTGCCATTAAACGGTTTCCCAAAATACATTGGTTAAATTTGAATAGTAATTAACAAGTCAATCTTATTTCGTTTGCGTAATAATGCCTTTTATTTTGCATAGTAGATTAGTACTCGGTGACGTAGTGAAAACAATTTTAGACCCCAGTTTCAGAGATTTGGCCCAAAGTTGGTATTTTTTAAATGGAACACCCTCTATATAACACCAATTGTTTCAGATTACAACATATATATTTTTTTAAATTTTAGCTATGAAATCCTTATAAGTGTTTTTAAATAGTAGACTATGGATTCATGGAGATTTTGATTCACGTTAAAATATACTACCTTTATGTCACATGTCATATAATTGGTGGGCTAAAACAAGCCTCTATCTTTAAAAGCAGCCGTGAAATACAGCAGTCTCAACCAAAATACTGTACACCATTTCTGCATTTTTATCCAGGTTTAAAACCCAGAGCGATTCAAAACATACAGGATCATAATGGGCGGTTGATAAGGTGTTTCCCATGAACGAACTTCAATACACTTCTCAGACGGACCTGTTAATTTATTTCGAGTTGTGAATTAAATTAAAAATTCAAATTGTCAGTTACATGCTATGAATTAAACTGCCATTTTTTGAATCTTTCAATGCTACTTTCTTTATATCTCTTTCTTTTTATAACCTTATAGCATGGTATATTAAAGTTATCGATAACAATCCTTCATCGGTTAGATTGGATAACGACCGAGAAAATTTTCAAAACTCCTAGCGTTTCAACATAAATTTACGAATTAAAGCAAAAGGCTCGAATGAATTCAAGAAAATTGCCATTGCATCTCTCCAAGTATCCTAAAGTGAATTTTATAAAATCAGATACTGCTTACATTTGCAAAATTCAAACTAATTGTATTAAAAGGCTATTTTTCGATGTGTATGAATGGAACATCGAAACAATGCTACTTTTCCAAATAAATCACAAAGATAAGAATTCATTTCATGAAATTTTAACGCATTTCCACAAAAATAACACGTTCCCAAAAAATCGATTACCTACTGATATTTTCTTACAATAACTTTAAATTTGACTGTATTCGTAGATCTCCACGAAAGCTTCGGCCATCCAACGCAATCCAAGTTTATTTTCCTTTTCTATTCAACATGAATAAATAAAATCTGTTCCAGACAAATTTCTTGGTTTACTTTAATCTTTGGGCAAGATACTTTGTCCATGAGCAACTAATACTACAAGGCATCAACATTTTAGATTAATTGCCTTTTCCAATAAAAAAAAACATCATTTAAGCAATCAAGAATTTTTTTAAATTTAAGACGAGTAGTTTTTTCGGCCTTCGTTGGGATAGAGCTGAAAGTTTTAGTAGTGTAGGCCAAAGAAATAGAACTTCGTTCAGTAGTTTTTAATTTGGTAGTCGACCAAATAAAAAAGCTACTGAACGAAGTTCTCTTTCTTGGGTCTACACTTTAACTTTAACTTTAAACTATATCAAATGGTAAGAATCATTTGTGAAAAACCCCTTGTCCCTTTGTTTATGATCTTTCGAAAATGTTTTTGTTGCTATTGATATTACCAGTTGCAACTGAACTGCCAGTTTATATTTTATTGCATAAAAAAATTAAAAAACCAAAATTAAGTGATTATGGTTCTTTCTTTAAAAAATGACCCAAATGATGAAATAAAATGCGAACCAACTAATTAAGGTATCTCCTCCTTGTAGAAATCGACGGAACACGATGTGATAGTCATGTTGGTTGCTTATGCTGCAGAGTTTACCTAAGAGGCGATTACTTTTGTCAATGACTGTACATGAAAGAAATAAATTCATTATTTCTTAACCTAGTGATTGCAGGAAAAAACCCCGAGACCCGTCGATTTTATATCTACAATTACATCATGTGCAAAAATTTCATCCCTTAGAGTGAGAATGACAACCCTTAAATATCTAAATCGCAAGTAGGAGTTATAGTACATTATTTGAAAGGTCTTTTAATTCTCTATTCAACCATATCAATAATCAAAACGGTTGTTCCCAAATATAATTGATCTGCGGAAGGACACGTCAAGAAGGCTAAGCCGAAGAATTATTAGAAGTACGTAAGAAGAAACGGCAATGAAAGGAGATACAAAAGAAGCGTAAAAAAATTGAACGAACCAGGCGTGAAAGAGACGCTAAGAAATCACGAAATAAGTTCGTCCTTGGATGATGATAGACATAATACTGAAAACAGACTTGGAAAATTCGAAACCGTTCGCGAGTTATCATGCACACAGACGGACGGACGATTGGACGGACGGACTGAAAGTCCAAAATCGCTTTTAAGAGCTCGTTAACAAATCATCTGGAAAAAGAAAATGATTCTTCAGATAAAAGTGAAGATAGAAGCGAGAACAACTATTTTGACCTATAAACTCTTCCATATTTCCTGTTCGAAACGTGGAATTATTTTCGGTTAATTTAAGGTAAAGTTTGCACTTTAATTTTGGGTTCCAAACGGACACGGGTTACGATTAAACTCGCCAAACCATTAATTCCTTAGGGCTGCAACCACAACTCTTAAGTTTTTCAAATGGCATAACGAAACAACAAACATACCGACTGGGCTAGATGGAAGGTCACGGGAAACCACCACCAAATCTTTCCCCAAGGTTACATTTTTGAGAAAGGGCGTTCATTTTCTATCTGTAAGAAGCACCATTTTTGAAGTAAACATTAGAAAGTTAACACTGGGTAATCCATTTTTTTACACGTTCATCGTACCCCGAAATAATTAGCTCACAAATAAGTAATGTAGGTCTAATAATTTTTATGCGTCTGCGTATTTACAATCTATTGTTTAATGCGCATTTAATTCGTAAATTTCAAGCTTCATTCTTACTCTTCAAATTTTAGGAAAATCTGTCCACAAATACGGAAGTTCAGTCTAGGCATGCGCAATTCGTTTTTGAACATTGATCAAGATTGGGTTTCCCTATATCTCAAATGATTGCTAAAACTGAGCACCCTTCATGTTTGAGTTCGGGCTAATCAAAAACAAAATGCAACTTTTTTTAGTGACAGAAAAAAATCATTTACCAGCAACATAACGAACCAAATAGCGAAACGAGTAAGACCTCTTAAGACAAAGATCTAGTGGCGACACAGTCGTAGGGACGGACAGACGAGCGAACAAAGTGACTATAATAATAGCGGATTTTTTCTATTTTTATGGAAATATGATAAAAAAAACTATCGATTCAAATTCAAAAATTATTTGTCCCTTGTGTGGCGCAGCCCTAGCGCTAAAGGATGTAATGACTAACTAAAAAATTCATTCATTAATGATGCCCCTTTCCTCTCCCGAAACCATTGATTTCCGTGTGTTTTTTTGAAAAAGTAACTCTTAGCTATCTGGAAATAGTTCTACTTATAAAAATGAATTTGCCGATGGTTGACATCTATTACTTTATTTTGTTTTTAAATAATTTAATAGCCATAATGACAGAATTTTTTAACTACCCAGATTATTGAAAATGAAATAATACCCTCTGTAGGGTAATTTCCGTGGTAATATGTTTCTGTACTACTCCATAAATGTCATACAAAAATTTTCCTTTAAATATTGGATAGGCTCGGTGCTTACAAACCGTGTCACAACTAATTAAATTCAGAAGGGACGCGGATGGACGAACAGATCCCAAAAAATTGCCACTCCATTAATTGACTGGCAGGAATGAATCCACTTATTTCCATAAAAACGTAATTTTTTTCAGACAATGAGTATCTAAATAGCAGTCATGTTTTATTGCACTATTAAAGGCTAGTATTTCATGTTACCCTTCACAGAGTTAGTTTCCATGGAAATCCATTAACTGACATATGATAAAGAATGCAAAAATATTTCTTGAAGCGCAGCTCACCTATTCATTAGAACGATGTTGCAGTTCATTGCCGGATAAGTCATTTTCATCCCATGATGTAGATAAGGGTTGCAACAGGTTGTGTGAGACGTGTCTACAAATGACTGGTGAACGTAACTAAATATTAGAAATAGAAATAGGTTCCTTACAAGCTCCACTAAGAAAGCACTGATTAATTTGTACATTCCTCCGAAAACAGTACGAGGGTCTTTTAGTGTATACGTTTCATTAAAAATCTAATTAGAACATTCGTCCTATATAAACTTTGGAAGCTCTAAAATTCATGAAGTATCCGAACGAAAACTAAACATGTGAATTCGAGGTACGGTACGCCTACGGAATTGGTAAGCGATAAACGTATTGCAACAGACTGAACGTGAGCATTAAGGGAAGGAAGGGTTATTTTGGGAGACCTTGCTAATGAAGAAAGCAAAGGAGGAGATAATGGCCGAGGATAATGGTTCGCGTCTGCGCTTCCTTATAAAATAGTAGGTACAGGGAGGAGTCGAAAGTATTCATTATACTCTCCTCATTATCATTCTCGTTTCCGTAAATGGGAAATATTCCTTACAAGTTCTTTTTCTAATTAGGAGGAGTATTAATTTTGGGTTTCATCTACACGTTTTTCATTGGAAAACGGGAACGCATGAAAGGGTTGCGTAGATCGTTATCTATAATGAAATCGTTCCGACTTTATTTGCGAAAGGGAGAGTAAATTCATTATTTATTATAATTAAATATTCATTTCACTTATACACGAAATCTTTCAACTTCGGATGAGGGATGCGGATTAAATTGTAATAGTTGTATCTATACAAAATTCTTAGTTTTAAATTGTGACAATTGGCATTACACGTTATTATTAGAACTGCATTCAATTTGATCTAATTATTCAGTAGTAAAAGTAAAGTTATAAATAGGTTAAACCCGGTAAAGGTTATTCAGATTTAAAGTTATTAAAAACCGGCTCCATTATTTGTTAATTAATAAATGTAGTACCTAAAAAGAAGAGCGATTTAAGCCAAAAACTTGATAATTTATTAACGGATTCATATTTGGGATAATTAGCTTAGATCATTACCTTTTACTTATGTAATTATGGGCAATTCACTTACGGCATTCCTTTTATTAAAAACTAAGCGGTTCGTACCGTAATTTGTAAAACCTAATTGCACGAATTTCAAGGTATACAAACTGTATATGCTTCTCCACAACAGAAACCCCTAATTACAATCTTTAATATGTGGTTATTACAATCCTTCTATCTTATTATCCTTGACGGAATTAAACGGAAGTACCTTCGCCTGCTTAACCGCGAAGGGTATGAAAATTACAAATGAAAATCTTACCAGTTTTCGGCGTGCTTTCTTGCAGCAGAGGCATTTTTCTTCAGATTTTTTTTCTTGTAAAATTTCACCAAAAGTCAGTTCGCGAATTAAAAGATCACAATCACTTTTACATAAATCATGTTTTTTACGCCCAAAAAGAAAAGTGTAAATTTTTACGTAAATTTCGTTAGTTTTTTTGTACAATGCTTCTGATACACATGCGATGTTGTGGCGAACTAAAATGTAAAAGCACACGCACGAGGGATGACCTAACCTAGCCCAACGTAACGCATTTACCCCTCCTTGAAGGGTAGGGAATCTTATAGTGGGGAGAACTGGAGCACCCCCTCAAATCCGGAACTCCGGAAGACTTCTTTTTTACAACTATCCTCCGGCTACTTCAATTAAATTGCTTGGGTTGCGGTGGTGTAGGTACGTGCCGAAGGTTTTGCACTTGTCAGCGTGTAACTTTATAATTTAAAGATCTTGTGGATCTAAACTGTTTACCAATCTTGCACTGTAATTAATCTAATCATGCAGTAATTGTAAATATTAAAGGAAGTCCATTGGGACAAGTTGATTTTGTTATCACATGTCCACTAATAGTGGCTGATAGCGTAGTCGAAGACAATTTCAGAGTATCCTTAGTTGAAAATGCAGATAGCAAATCGGTCATTATAAAGTAGTTCTGTCCATCGGTACCTACCTACCTGTCATATACCTCGCAGGTAAATTGTACAATACTAGGCACTTAACCTGCAATTAATTTCCAAAATTTAGTAAAATTTCCGTAGTATAATCGAAGAAAATGCAATTGAAATATGATTTACTACCACATTAGACATTGCACATACTCCTTTTTATAATATTATATTGGCGCCCATCCAGGTAGTGTAAACTCTACAGATTTGCAACTCTGATAAAAAGAAACCGACTAAGCAGAAAAACGCAATTGAACCTTATAACGAATAAAAGTCACTATCACATCGTTAAAAGTAAGTAAAATTTGCAACACTGAATGACAGCTTTGCAATTTTCTTCTAAAAAATTAAAAGTGAACTTACATCTGGCTATTTTGCGAAAGTCCATGTTCTCAGCCTACCACAAAACATAAAGTAATTAAGATATCCTTCCTATTTTATCTGCTCAGTACCGAAAATGAAAGCTTTTCTAGGGAGAGGGGGATATATCCCGTATTATAATTATTGATAATTTATTAAGGTTATACCTAATTTTGTATAGGTCGGTTATATTTTGTTTTATTAGTTGTTTTCTGGATACGTACGATTCTTCAATTAGTTCAGATACTATTTTCCTGTTTCTTCCAATCTCTCAGATCCTCATTTTTAGTGCCTTATGATTTTGTGTAATATTCCGGTTTGCTACCAATTTTTCAAATCCATCCCATACACGAGATTCTTCTTTCCAGATTCTAGAATTGCTCCTGTTTCCCTAATTCTTGACAGTTTTAATGGTCCCCGAAATGGTTCAGATTCATTAAATTCCTCAGATTCTTCAGTTTATTGTTCTTGGAAGTCTTCCGATACGTTTCCTGTAAATACTCTGGCGTCGTAGGGGTTTAAAGTTACTGTAAATTCTGCTGATATTAATTAAATTTTTATGGTCTTTCGAATTTTTTTCAGTGACAGTGTAGGGGGGCATTATTATACGTACTAAAATTCTTCAAATCATGCAAATTTTCCGAGTTCTTCGAATTCTTACTAATTTCTGAATCCCTGAGCTCATTGGAAACTTGAGGTATCCTTCAGGTTCTTCAGATACCCCTTTCGGCTTCTTTCGTTATCTCGATTCTGCTAATTCTTTAGGTCTACTACATTCTGAAGGTTTTTGGATTTCTTTGGATTTTTTAAATTCAAATTTTTAAAATTATTTAGATTTTTGCGTTTTTCGGAATCTTCATATCTGGGTTTTTTTCAGATCTTTAGTTTCTTTCGACATCTCAAATTTTCAGATGCATCCAGGTTCTTTACATTTTTAGGATTTTTTCCTTTCTTCAAACTTCAGTCTGGATTTTTCAAGTACTTCCAACTCTTTTGTTAGTATTTGAGCTTCTTTAAACTTTGGATGCGTCGTTTAATGGACCCATTAATTTGGCTGATCTACTGAAACACTATGGAAAAACATGTGACTCTTATATCCAAACCAAATTCAGTAGGTTGGTAAATAAACTACTGTGTAAATAATGTCGGGTTGGACGTCGAGTTTTAATTGCGAATCAAATGCTCATTTCAATTCATTTAATTAATCTAGTGGAATTTCTTACGGATAAACACAAAATGATTTTGCGTATCTAGCCTGTATCCAAAGTGTTTGTTTATTTTTTTGCTGTAAATTCCTCGAATTATTAAGGATAGAAAAATTTTTATCTCAATTTTCGTTATCACTTTGTTTTGTTAATTCATTTGTGACAGTTCAGATTTGATTTATCGGGTATCTCGTTTCTACGTTAAAGTTGCTGGCAAAGTATGTGCCTGTCGTCGTATAAACAAATTCATTGATCGTCCAAGAGTCCAGCCATGTTTTTAAGAAATTGTACGTAACGGTTTGAGATAGCAGTTTTCGTTGAAGTTGTCGTCCTCGATAAACGGACAGCCATTCGATCCATCTATCGTGTGTTGGTGATCAGTCACTTAATTCAGATTTGAATACAATGAACGTTTCTGCAACCGGTCTGGAACAGAATTTAAGAACAAGTTTAGTTTAGTGCATTTCAGATTTTTATTTGGATTTATTTTATTTCCATTTGTAGTGGTAGAATAAATTTTGTTTATGTGAAATCATGCAAATCGTGTGTTTATTCGATCCCTTTAACGGCTCAAATAGATGTCTCATGCTTAATTATGATAAATTCTGTTGATACTTGCCCAAAGTTCATTTCACGAAACTTCAAAATTTAGTAAATGATCCTTTGGGAGTTAAGGAATTTGATCGTGACCATTGTTTGCTTGGAATGTGGAATTTAAAGTCAGAATTGAAATTGAGTTTGTTGTAAATTTGTTGAATTTAAATGTAAAAGGAGAAATTTTTAATTTAAAATGTATCTATAAAACTAATAATATTTTACCTTGAACACGGCAAAAAATAGCTTTACACCATCATGATCTAAGAACTGTAATACTATATCCCCATTAAAACAGATGCAGTTGGAATTATTCGAGTTCACCACGTTGTTTGTAGCCCTCAGATGTTCAAAAAAAGGACAACACATCCTTAAATTTGTTCCAAAAATAAGTTTAGTGGAGTATGCCCTATTTGATTCCGAAAAATTTCCTAAAATCCCTACCGTCCATTTGATGTTCGGTCCCAACACCAAAAATACTGACGGGGCACCCTGTATATGACAATATTTCAATTTTTGTAAATCTGGTGGATTATTTACGAAATAAACACAGATTTGGTGGTGATTTTCTTTTCGGAATAGTTTGTAATTATAATTTCACCGTTTTTCTAAATTTAGTGTAAAACGTGAAATTGCGTGTTAAAACGTGGGGACATCTGGTCGCTTGCGATAGGAGATTTTTTCAGACGAAATTTAATTAAAGTACGTGTTCTTATCACTGTTAGAAGATGCAAGTTTTACGATGTGCGCGTTATTTCGGCGTAAGTATGGACGCGGGAAGCGTTCCTTCGAAGCTGTGATTATCTAATCTCATTCTGGTTGGCGGTTGATTTGAAAAATCCCGAAGGTGGTAGAAGTGGTGTTCCCTTAGACGTAAAAACGCGGCTGTTGCAGTTGTTAGTTTGCATGACGGTTAAAGAGTGTGTTCTGTTTACATTGCACCTCGAACAGTCAGTCCTTTTATTGAAGACGCAGTTTGTCGATTTCGAAATAAAGCAAGCAGAAGAAGTTAAGCAATCTTAATAAAAGATTTAAGGTATCGTCAAGTGGAAAGTTTCAAAAACGGTCTGTCTGTATTCAGAAAGTTCAAGGTTTCTACCGTCTCAGCAGAGTTCAGTTTATT